AAAAAAAAAAAAAAAAAAAAAAAAAAAAAAAAAAAAAAAAAAATTATAATGATAGTAAACGATAAGAATAATAATAACAATAGGGACAATAAGAACAACAACAAAAGCAAAAATAATAAACAAAAAAATAAAAAAAGAAAATAATAATAAACAGAAACAATAAAGATAAAACAACGACAACAACAAGAACAATAATAAAAATAAAAATAATAAAAATAAAAATAATAAAAATAAAAAAAATAAATGTTTAATGTGTTTGTTGTTTTTTGTGTGTATATACAGACACTGGATTCTCTCTCTCTTTGGGTGGCGCGTTGGTTACCTCCCGCTAGCAGCAGACACAGACAAGAAAACACCCTAATTATAAATAAAAAAATAAATAAAAATAAAGATAGAATATATAGAAAAAGAAACAGAAAAAGACGATAAAAGAAAAACGGAGAGACTAAAAAAAAGATAAAGATAGAATATATAGAAAAAGAAACAGAAAAAGAAGATAAAAGAAAAAGAAAAAGGGAGATAAGAAGAAAAAAGTATAAAGATAGATGAAATAGGAATAGAAAAAAAAGATAAAAGAAAAATAAAAAAAGAAAAAGGAAAAGAAGAAAAAGAAAAAAGAATAAAGAAACAATAAATAAAAAAAAGAAAAAGAAACAAAAAGAAAGAAAAAAAAGAAAGAAAGAAAAAAAGAAAAAAAAAGACAACGTCTCTTCTCTGTCTCTTTTTATACAAGTATGACGAAGGGGGGCCCCCTCTATCTTTTATTACAACTGAAAGAAGAGGGGGGCCCCCTCTGTCTCCTCACCAGTCTAGAGAGAAGGGGGGCCCCCGAGAGGGGCGCCGAGGGTACTGGGGGGCCCCCTCTGTCCCCTCACTGTGAAGGGGGGCCCCCTCTGTCTCCTTACTGCTATAAAGAGAAGGGGGCCCCCCTCTGTCTCTTCTTTTTACTCTGTCTCTGTATCTGTCTCCTCTACCCTCAGGGCCCCCAGCTGGACTGGTGGTACCCACAGGGGCCCCAACATAGTGAGGGGCCCCCATACAG